GCACAGTAGACCATGTGATTATCTGAATCAAAATGGCCAGTCCCCATCACCAGTCTGTTTCAGCTCAGTTATGCCTAGGATATCGATCTTTATGTGTTCCATCTCATTTTTTATAACTTCTAATTTTCTTAGATGCATACTTCATACTTTCCATATTCTGAATAGCTATGGATGTTTGCAGCTGTTTCTTCTCATTGTGAGTAGTACTCCATCAGCAAATGAAGTCCCAAAAGCTTTACTCCATCCACATCATTAAGGTCAACTCTACTTCGAGGAGGCAGCTCTTCCCCAGTTGTATTTTAAGTGACTTCAAAGCCGAGGGCTCACCTTCAGGCTCAATATCAGACAATGTTCGCTGCTGCCCATAAGGTCTCACTGGACGACTTTTTCAGAAGTAGGTCACCAGCTCCTTCTCCCTAGTCTGTCTGGGTCTGGAAGCTCTGCTGAAAGTCCACCTTGGGTGGCCACCCTGCTGGTACTTGAAATACTGGTGCCGTAACTTTCAACTTCACAGCAACACACAAGTCACCCCAGTATGACAAGCTGACAGAAGAGTGGTGGGGTAAGAACCTTCGAAGTCAATAATAAGTGAAACCCAAAAAGATGAAATGACTTGCCCCAGATCACACTGTTAAGATCAGAAGGACTGACACTAGAGCCCAGTGGGAACATTATTGTTTTCGTATAGTTGCTTTTTGTGAAGTTACACATTGTTAGAGTACTTGGCTTATGTGTGTGTGTACATATACAAAAGTGTTGGTCGGACACTGTTGATAAGAGGAAATAAATGAGAACATCTACATGTCTAAATGAGGATGAATGAACTACTGTACGTCCATACCAAAGACTCACACGACTCAACATCTCTCAAGAATGATGTTCAACGCTGTTAGATAGATAGAGATAAGTATTGATTTGGGTGAAGAGAAGGGCCATGTACCAAATATGAGTGACCAATATGGCAGCACTGAGGATGAGAAAGAGAGAGGTACATGGGAGGTACAGACAACAAAGATGAACCCTTTTGCACGTACAGTACTGCATTGTCAATGAAGGCAAACATGAGTATATGGGTGGATAGATGGGTGGACAGGCTGAACTATTAGGTATGTCTATGAAATGGGGAATGTATC